AGCATGGGAAATTGATATTGGTCCCTCAGTGTGTGAATATCTGATTGGAGCAGATTAAGATAGACTGGCTGACATCAGTCTAGTTCTATATTTTCACTTCAACAAATCCCATCAAAAAATGAAAACCAGCCATTGATAGGTTCTACCAACAAGTATTGCCTATGTAGACAAAGCCCGATGACTTCTACGTATATGCCATAGACCTCTATTGTTGTCCAAAAACTATTAAAAACACATCAGCCACACTGTTGCACTTCAAGCGTGAATTAATCCATGGTTGAAAATAGTCCCCAACAAATACACAATTTATTCCTGAGTCATGTTAGCTAAAACCTACAGAATCCAGCTGTTGTATTACTGAAATCTATACTATATATATATATATATATATATATATACACTATACTACTATAATTTTGTGACCCCTTTTTAAAGAATTATAGTATATCTTCTGTATGAATCAGTGAACTTGGCCCTGAGTGCCACAGACAGGCTGGGGGAGTTGGGAAGTACTGAGAGAATGACTAATGAAAGATTGAATTGTTGGTTTTAGTCTTTCCATGGCATTTGTTGACAGTAAGAAACATATTGAATAATGTGTTTTAATAGTGATTCCGGACGAACCAAAGCGTGATGTCAACTTTCAGCCAAAAAACAGCATTTCAGTTCCATCTCCCTGTCAGACTAATGGGAGAACTAATGAATCTAAAATGACTGTCTGACACCAACACAAAGCTCAAGCCTAATATCTTAAAACATGAACACTGTATGTCTTTATTCTTTGCAGCAACTGTGGAGTAGCTTTGATGGCACAAGGAAAAAACATGGCAAGTCATCAGCTGTTGAGTGTTTGGTTCTGCATCTATCAGATTGGATAGATTTCTACTGTGGCACAATATCTTCACGTATTTTGAAAGCTATAGAAATATAAACATCCAATTAAATTTTAAATGATTTTGCTTCTAATATTTTAAGTTTAAGGTCTCTAATTAATTCCTAAATTAAATTAATTAAAACAAAAAAAGTGTAACAAAAGGGTTAAAATGGACTACAAACAGTCTCAGATACCACACACACGCACACAAACTACATTATAATACAGCCACTTACCTTCAGGCTGCAGATAGGTCATTCCCATTCAAGACCAACCTAAGCAGGCCATGCCAAGCTTTGTGCCCACTCCCATCATTCTCATTAATACCTGAGCTAGTTTGGGCACTTGACCTGATTTATTATTTATTTATTTATAGATATTCTTAGGTACTCTTAACCTTACTGGTGGTCATTTTAAAACTTTTTTGAACTGCACTTGTTTGACACCTGTCTGGTTATGTGTTGTGTGTGCACTGATGCCTCTACACAAATTAACGGATTAATGAAGTTATTTTGATTTGATTTGATTTGAAGTGTACACTGGTAAATAAGTCAATGTGCAGTTTTTTGGCAGAGCTTGGAGGAGTCTAATAGGTCATTTCTGGTTATTCCTTAGAGATTCCTGCAGAGCTACTCTTGATTCATTTTATAAAAAGAGACTACAGTTGTCTTGCACAGTCAGTGCATGAACCTAACCCTGGATCCCTTGGAGCTGGAAGAAGTACAATAGTGATATAAGGTGATGTGTTCTTGTAGTGCAGAGAGAAATTGAGGAAGTAGAAAAGAAAATGCTCTCAGGAAATGTGTCAGTCACAGATCCATATTTCACCTTAACATTAAACACTGGGCTGGAGTGTGAGGAACAAATCAGAGATCTTTTTCACTCGTTGATCAAAAAGCAAAGTTTTGCCTGAGCAGCAGGAGTCATGTACACCCACCTGGTGCCTTTCACATACCTCATATGACCTCGAGAGGAAAAAAAAAGAGAGAAGAAAATCACCAGCACTCTGACTCTCACAATCAAGCACAAAGAGAAGCTCTGCCTTCAATCCCAGTCACCTGTCTATCGGTTAGCACCTGCATTACCATGGCAACTGATTACCTGGACATGCTGCACCGTAGTTTGCAAGTCTACTGTATTCTCTGGCTCTCTCCTCACCTTTATGCAAATTTCTTTGTTATTGAGCAGTTTCTAATAAAAAGCTGTATCACTGTGACAACTGACCTTATCTTATAACAAGGTTTACATTTTAGTTGCAGGTTCCTATAATCATTTTTATATGAGTGATGTGGGAATGGAGATTTATCAGGATGATAAGACCATACATTCTCTGAGAAGGGAGAATAATAATTGCAGTATAAGCAGTGCTTCTATGTTTGATTCACTAGAAGCTATAGAGGTGAAATAATATCCAATTAACCTCATATGGTCTATATGTCATTGTCCTATTGCACCACATGGCCATATATAATCAGTTATTTTTCCTATTAGTGTTTAGTGGTAATTATATGTCAGAATGAGATTGAGAAATCAGATTATATAACAAGGTAAGACCTACATGGAATTAATATGATTAGGTGCGGTCTTGTTTTTTATTCTTTGTCTATGAATTCATCGCCCTTAATAATCCCTTTATAGATATTATATAATCAAATGCAATTTGTGTGGAGTTATATTTCTTATTCTGACTCCCTATATTTTAAGCCTAACAAGGCACCAGTGCAGCTTTGTAATCCTGAGAACATGCTGAGGCTTAAACAAGATGAGACTACAATAAACAAGAGGGGGAAGAAAACATAGCATCTTGCTGCAGCTTTGAAGTGGGAACCGGATCAAATCCCCATACGAAGCAAATTGCCTTTCTTTCCCACCAACTAAAAAGGGATCAAAACTGTCTTTTCCTAAAAATAACGACTCCCTGTCTCCCTGTCTCTCTCTGTGTATCCTCCATGGGAAGACAAACACCAAAGACCTTCATGTTTTCCTTCTCAACAAAAATCCTGGTCTCTTAACTTTTTAAAACACACTGTTTATAAGATTTGTGCAGTCACATAAAGGGAAAACTTAAAGAGTATGTATTCAGAAACTAGGTGTTAAGTGTGTTTGCTCATGATAATGTCTGACTTGTGAACATTGTGAATTCATGTTTAATGAAAGCTCTGCCTTGTAATTAACATCCCTAAAGAAAATGACACATAAATGTTGACCTACAGCATGACTCAAGAAGGATCCCTGTGAGTAGAGGGGTATTTCACTTGTAACGAAAAATGGAACCATTTAACAGGAAACCATGCAGAAGAGAATGCGAGCCTTGAAAATGATAATGAAATTATTCATGTCACACAGTTCCCTGCAACACTGCAATTAAATAATAAGTCATTATGACAAAAGAGCAGACTAAGCACTAAACTTTATGAGTTTTGTACTTTTTCCTCAGTTCCATCAGTAGTAAATGCAGAGGGCAAAGATAGCTGATGAAGGCCCTTTGCTTTGCTTCGATAGGCCTAAATGTACATCGGGACTACAGGCACAGTGTTATAAGAGAAGTTACATAAGTAAATAAATCAACTGCTTATCCACCCACAAACTCATCCAACCCACACACAGGGCTATACAATGGTTAGATACTTTAGTTAAACACACACACACACACAGTGGCAGCCCATGATACGCCTCCCAGTATAAAAGATATAATGTTTCACTTACACTTTATGTAATGGTAATAACTTTGTAACTTTAAACAGCATAAGATAAGTTAATTTACCATGATATGTGGAGGAGATAGGTAGAGGGACAAGTCAAGATGCACTTACGTATAGAGTTTCCACTGAGCACAAAAAGATTGGTGGAGGAACAATTCAGCAACAGACAGGCACTGACTAAAAGTGATGAGGGAGGTTAAGCTGTGAAATGCATCATTTTAATGAGTGACTGGATCAGTGCGCAGCTCATCACTGTTGAAGCTGGAAATGGGTTAGTTTAACATTTCTTCTTGCCATTAATATCAAATGCTGAAATATTTGAGAAGTTATAAAATACAACCTTAAACCCCAAATACAACAAAATTGCCAAGTATGACGCTCGAAATGCACAAAGGTCAGTTGAAGGGGAAGTGAATCTATTTCTACACAAGTGTATTTACACATCTTGGGGTGTAGTACTCAATACGTGAAAAAAAGCTGTATAAAGCATTTTATGGCTCCAGAAGGAGCTGCATGATTTCTTTTAAATTGCCTCAAGTGATGTCAC